GTTCATGAACTTTCCCTAAACCGGGGGGGGGGGGGGCAGGGATTGTCTCCAGGTGATTCAGCATGAAACAGGTGTTAGATTTGTGTGTTTGTGGGTTTCTGTATGCTGTGTCTATGTCTATAGGTGTGTGTTTATTGAAGCATGTTGTGTGTGTTGTGTTGTCAGCATGTATCTGCATTTATAAATTGTGTGTGTGTATGAAGAGAGAGAGAGAGAGAGAGAGAGAGAGAGAGAGAGGTAGAGAGAGAGTCTCAGAATAAGGTTAGATTTCCCAATGTAATTTGTTAGTGCCTAAACTGTTGGAGAATTGGAGAGTCAGATTTATTTAATTTTCATGGATGTTTATTAGAAGTGTCCTATGCCATTAGCATTATAGAATGGAACCCTTTATCTCACTTAAGCTCTCTCTTTACCAAGCAGACCATCTGAAAATCACCAGTTATCACCTGCTTCCAACAACCCAGAATTTCAGTGAGATCTTTGTAGCCAAATAGGCAATGTGATTCTGTCCAATTAGTTAAATACACTGACAAAGCTTAGCTGACGAAGCGGTGATAATGCTCTGAGATAATTGTAGGGGGTGTTTTCAGATCACACCAATTGGCTGCATTTAACCCTCTACCAGACGTCACTCAGAATTAAAGTGGCCATGGTGACAAGGATGAGAATGTTAAATCTGCAAGGAGGAGTAGAACTTGCTCTCAGCTGCCATGGACTCTGTCCCCCAGCAGTGTAGTCTCTCTCTGTATTCCATGTCCACCAAGGGCACTTTCCTGAGAGACAGCACCAACAGAGACCCCTGGCAGCATTCCTTTCAGGGAGAGACATGCCATCAAGGTAACTCTCAGTAAAGGGTAACAGATTTAGTAATCACAAAGGAAGTTCTGCCACATTCTTTAAATTGCCACAAATGACATGAAACAAATTCAAAACAAATATTTTTTCAGAGTTTATTAGGACAGGTGCATAACAGAAAGCTCAAAGGTTGACAAAGCCACAACTTTGTGAAGGGGACCCTGAGCCCCACTTCAGAATGTCATGTTATAGCTCTGAGAAGGGCTGTACCCTGTGAACCTTCCCTCCCCACAGCCTGGGAAACACTCATTAAGGCACTAAAGTCCCTTCTATCTGAACATCCAATAGTTTCAGAATCCATGAAATTGATTTGATGCATGTACTTTAAAATATTTACATTTTCACTGAGAGATCAGGGTGTGATTACTAACATTTACAATAGCCCACTGACAACAGAGAACAGGACTGTCCACCACATACCTCAAGCTTAACATGATCTGTCAAGGAATTTCAACTTGGGGAGAACAGGTTAAAACTGCAGAGAGGAGCCACTTGCCACATTTCAGATAAGATGGGAAGGATTGGAAGTCCAGAGTTCCCAGCTGAAACAGATGGGGACTGTCAGGAACAGGTCACATGATGCTGTTTTCAACCAGCCCTTGAGTGAGGGGGTCATCAGAGTGTCTGGTTGTTGAATACATGAAGGATTGAGGGGTGTATGTCCCCCTGTTTTGGTTGACAGGTTTCACAAACCACACGGTGAAGACCTGGGTTTGAGAGCCAGGGAAGGGAGAGATGTTTTGAGGGAGCCTATCTCAGATTCCCATGCTAAATCTATTGTTGAAGGACATGGAAATATGCAGGGGCATTAAGCCATTTTGCAGGTGCTAGAAAGCAATGCTTTCCTGTTTTCCTGATTCAGACAATGGGGGAAGCTAAGAAGAAAAATAATAGGAAAAGGCTTTTCTATATTTGCTTTAAAAATTTATGTTATTTTGAATTGAGTAACCCCCCCCCCTCCTTTTTTGGTCAAATCTCATCTCTGTTCCTTTAGTTTTGCCAGAAATATTTATGGGAAAAGAGGATTGGAACAAAAAGACCTAATGATCCCATCCAACTATTGAAAGTATGGTTGGTAAGAACAGCTCACAAAAGGGCTCATGGTTAGTAACTCAACGAGGTTGAGAACTTCATAAGGAGAAAATGAATTCATTTCTTAAGTGGTGTGCCCTGAACAGTGAACATAATGCACATTCAGAAATACTTGAATTTCATTCCACATTTTCCACTGCTCTGGGGAAAGTATCAAGATAGACCTTCCCAAAGCTAGTTTGTCCCTGTGTAAGAGGCTGAAAGAAAACATTAAGTGCCCCCCTGCCTCCTTTCTTACTGGCCTTTGTGCTCTCAGTCAGAGCCAGGTGGAATTCACCCAGTTACTGTCACCGAGAAACTGCCATGAGGATGCACAGTACTATGAACTGGTCATGATGATGGTGATAGTGGTAGTGATGATAATGATGAGTGGAACACCGAAGCCTGAAGATGGATACATCTAGGCTTGCATCAATGCCACAATAGCTAGCTACCGGGGAAAATTAGGGCTAGATCTCCTTTACCAACAGCATTCAGGAGTCCCTCCCAAGGCATTTCTTTTTGAGAAGTTCATTTTCTAAACTCTTCAAATTACTGTGGGGCAGGAGGAGGTATTGCATCATCCATCTTCAATAATGAACAACAACAACAAAAAAAAAAAATGGAGGGGGCTAGTGTTATAGCTCCTGGAAGCATGTGTCTAGCATACTTACAATGCTGCCTCCCATCACCAGCACCACATAAAAGACAAAAAGTAATTATGGTCACCTGAAACTAAGGGATGAGAGTGAGAGAGCTGAAGGCTTGAAGGTATCCCCCCCCCAACCCCACCCCCTACCCCCGCCAAACTCTCTGGAAAATGAAGAGTAGGAGGAGATGAGTTGGTTCTAAATACAGTTTTTCCAGGTATGGACTTAGGAAAATTCTGTTGCCAACCAGAACTTTCTCTCCTTTTCACAGGCAGGGATTGTCCTGTCTCTGCTCACTGATTTCTTCGGTGGTGGGGGCATAACCTAACAACCTTCGCCCCCTTTGGACAATGGAAGTTCACTTATATACTGCTTGGCCTCTTAGATTATCAAACCCCAAATTTTCCCGTCTCAAACATTAGGCTAGCAAGAACAGATGGGAGAGTAAAGCACCTGTTTAGGAACATTGAATGGCTTCCTTGTCCTCGACACATGAGGTATGTACGGTTCTGCACAGGCTTTGGCAGGTCAGAGATGAAAGAGCTCTGCCTCCATGGGAGGGGCTGATGCTAAAAGCACACTTTGAGGAAATATGTTCATCAATCCTTTCCTTGCGGTGGGACTTACAGAGAGGACCCAGTGCCCCTGAGAGTGTTGGGGATGGGGTTCTATGTCTACACCCCAAGTGGTCTTAAGTCCCACACAGCAGCCTGAGCATAGACCAAGTAAGGCTATGGGGAACTTAGACTCAGTTTGTCTTCCTCACCTCAAGCCATAAGAATGAGCAGTGGGAGGCCTGGAGGTAATGGTGTTGTACATGGGTTCATGTCAGTCCATACAGATACTGCCATCTATCTAAAATCATCTGGTAGGTGCTGGTCTCTGTGATAGACTGGCTGCCAATCTCAAATATTGCCAGGGGTTCTGTGGCCAGTGAAGTTTCTTGCCAATTAGACACAGCTTTGGTCTCCTTTATGTTCCAAATACCTACATTCTAACTGAAAGACAGATGGTGAACTGATTTTTAAATGCACAAATTTCAGGCACCCTGTTGAGCTCCATATTTCTCCATCCTCTTCCAACTTTTTTTTTCCTTGTGGTAGGGAGGTTCCTGTTTTGTTTTAAGATACTTCCTTAACTCCTCAGGCTTTGAATCTGGTTGTTATTCATCTTCACTCCTCAGATGTCAGCTTGAGGGATGAGTGCATTTGAAGGCAGATATGAAAGGGCACCCTGGTCTGAGAACAAAGACTATGGATCCCGTGATGAAGACGCTTCCCAAATGCAGAGGCAGTAAAAGCCTTCCATGAGATGGAAGGCCTCCTAGAGATACTGACTCACCAGGGCTGTCTTCTAGTACCCAGACAGAATTGAGAAGCTGGAACACCATCACCGACAGCAAGCTTAAGGGACAGTTTTGCAACTGTACACTTTGAAATAAGCCTGTCAATCATAAAATGGCTCTAAGCAGTTTTAACGGTTGGAAAACGGCCTTTCTGTTCTCTCTTCCCCTTTCCCTTTTCTCTCTTTCTCCTTTCTTAAGCAAACAGAGAGAACCTTCTGTGTGACTAGTCCTTGATTTGATGCATGCCATGCCACACCCACAAGACAGACCTGAAGTGCTCCAGATGTGCTCTCAGCTGTGAACTGGGCTTAAACTACATTCATGTGACAGCATTCAAAGCAAAGTTTCACACATCTTTTCCTTGTAGTCAGAATAGAATGAAAGCCTCTTATTCCAGCTACCCAGTTAGGGGTGGTGTTAAGGGGAGACAGGGTGCCCTGCGGGTAGCTGGGGCCCTGTGCTGCCTCAAAGACAAATTGTTCTTGGGGTTTTGTTATTGTTTCTCAGTAGCCAAGTGTGTGTTAACATCAGTCCATTCAGACGATTTAGTTCAAGTATCTATTAACTCAATCCCTGCTGCTTCCCTCTGGCTTATGCTTTTACCAAGACCTCTCAGTCACTTGAAGTAACTTTCCAGTTCCCATCTTTACTTGCCCATAGGCTCAAGACTATCAGAAGGTTAAAATGAGGGGCTAGGATGTCTAAACATCCTGCCTGCTTGCTCCCTAAGCAGTTAGTTGAACTTCCTCCCATTCTGATGGTTTCAACAATACTAAGGGGGATTGAGGGGAAATGCCAGAAGTCAAATGTACACAAAGGCAGCCATCCTGAAAAATTCCCCATAGGAAGGGTAGAACCTTCTTCTCACAGAGTTAAATAATTAAGTGCATTTGTCCTCCAGCCTATGAGGAAAGGGATCATTTCCATCCTAGTTAGCACCAGTAGCTCCTTTTCTTCTCTGATGAATGAAGAGATAAGAAAAGTCTTTGAAGCACTCCCCCTCCCCATTACCCCCTACTCCCACCCCGTGACTCCTCATGCCCTGATCACGAACCAGAGAAACACATTAAATCAGTCGATTACAGATTTGAAAAGGGTATGTGAGGCCTGTCATTATCCACAAAACTCCCCACAATGGCAAACCACATACAGCTTTCACTCCCCCCCCCCAGGCATATCAAATACAGCTGGAAAATACCTGCCCATCCTAAGTCACCAACCAGGCTCTTAAGGGGAAGGTGCATATTGTTTGCTGAGAGTCCAGTCCAGTCTTTCAAAATGATGTGGACCTCCCCTCATGCGGGAGTTGGAAGCTCTGAAAGTAGTGGCAGCTGCCTGTGTCTCTATGGCCACATTGTCTTCAGCAGTCCGTCCCAGGTGTCGGGCTGTGGGAAACAAAAGATTCCAGTGTTGGAAGCCGTGGAATTCTGTCACATTCGAATCCACATTTGGGTTCTTTGACTCCACTCTACATGCACTCCCAGGACAGATAGGCTCCCTTTGGACTGGACTGCAGAGGTTGGGCTTAACATCAAATTGCCAGCTGACTGTTCCTGCTGTGTCTGCCTCCCAGTATTGTGGTCTGTGCCTCCCACCCCACATCTGCCCACCCAGGTACCCAAGTAACCTACAGCTTTTTTACCTGTACTGGTTCTCCAGGGCTCGGCTCTCGGCTCGCTCTGGAACCCAGGAATAGCTGTCAGCTGCATTCTGAGGCTTCTTCTCTTTTATCTCCTCCTTCTTGGCTCTCCTTTTACGATAAATGAGAAGCCCCAAGGCCAGAGCCAGCAAGAGTGAGATGGCCACCACAGTGCCCAGGATATAGAACAAAAGCAGCTTCTGCCCATCAGTGTCACTGTCACTGTGCGCTGCCACAGAATCTTCATGTGTGGGCTTGCTGTAGCCAGTGGTCATGGGGAGATGTGTATCCAACTCCATCCAGACACCAGATGCCTCACTAGGGACTGGTATTTCTGGTGGAACAGAGGCAGAGGGGGTATCCGATCCCAGGGAGGGTTGCCCTGTGGGATGTCCTCCCTTGGAAACATTCTCAGAGCCGCTGTAAGAACTGGGCATTTCAGTAGGAGGCACAGTACTCCCCTTTCTGTCACCTTTGCCTTCCTTTTGGGGAGCCTTGGTTGGTGGTTCTAAAGACATGGTGCCCTTGATACAAGAGACCCCATTGGGAGCCAGCTCCCAGCCTGGCTGGCAGCCACAGCTAAAGGAACCCTCTGAGTTGAAACACAGGGTGTCACATGGACTGCCCCTGGAATCCAAACACTCATCTATATCCTCACATTGGGTACTGTCTTTCCCAGACAAGGCATAGCCTTCTTTACAGGTGCAATAGAAAGAACCATCAGTATTGATGCAGTGATGGGCACAGGGTGCGTGGGCAGCAGAGCATTCATCCACATCCTCACAGGCCTCCTCTTTGGGGCCACTGGATTGGTAGCCCAGCCAACATTCACATTGGAAGCCCCCAGGGGTGTTGATACATTCCTGGGCACAGGGGGAGTCCTGGCACTCATCTATATCTACACAGTGTACTTGGCTAGAGTCCAGCTGGTAGCCATTGGGACACTGGCACGTGTAGTTCTCGCTGAGGGGTACAGGATGGCATGTGCCCCCTCCTGTGCATGGGTTGGAGCTACAGGGGTTCCGAGAAGCACAAGTTACTAGGTCATCCAGCAGCCGGAATCCAGGCCGGCAGCCACAGCGGAAGGAGCCATCCCCACCTTCGAAGCAGTCCTGCTGGCAGCCCCCATTGTTGAAACTGCAGCCCAACTTGGGACTTACACAGACAGGGCCTGAGCTGCCCCAATGGAATACACCTGGAGTCTTTTCCTTGCATAGGAAATAGTGGGTCTTACTCTCAGCCTCCTCCCCACAGACTACATTGGCTGCAGAAGCAAACGGCACAGCGTCCAGGGAGGAGGTCGTGGTCTGAAAAGGGGTGGTATAGGTCACCTGCCCTGGACCACCCAGGGCAAGGGGACTGCACATGCCTTTGAAGTTGAATTTGCACAGGAAACCTTCAATGTTGTTACCTGGAGCATCAGGAGTCCCACAGGGGCTCTCATACCACTTGGGGAGTTGGCTGGGGTGAGGTGTCAAGGATATGTCCAGTATGAGGGACACACAGCGCTTAGAGGTACAGGATCTCTTGCTCTCTTTGTACCAGTTTGAATAAGCTGTGTCCTCTCCACCACCCACCCAGCTGAAACCTTTCATTGGCAAATCGTTGTACGTACACTTGCCCTTCTCTCGCTGGAGCCCGATCCAGAATTTACCCATCTTGGTTTCCAAGGGTTCCTTGGTCTTCAAGAGCTGAGCCAGAGCTTGCTGGACATACCGGGCTTCCTCCTCGCTCTTCACTGTGGCTAAATTGCCTCCATTCTTATGGCAGCAATTCTGGGCTTCAGCGGCGCTCAGCTTGCCCCAGTGGGCAGTATAACAGGCAGTCCCCTGGCACACGACAGCCCCTGAATCAACAGCAGCCCCTGCCCAGGACTGGCCCAGGAGCAGAAGCAGCAGCAGCAGCAAACCTGTTGAGGTGGGCATTTTGCTGTGTCTTCTGGGAGAGGCTAGACTCCTCCACAAAGACAGCAGCTGCCACTGGATCTTGGAGTTTGGCACCCGGCTGTGCTCTGAGGGGAGCTGAGGACTGTGCCTCTGCTGCCAAGCCACCGCAGCTCTGGCGCAGAGAAGGTTACAGACTCCAGGCTTTTCACATCCCCGTCCCCCTGACCCGGGGCGCATCCTGTGCTCTAGTACTTCTTATTTCTCACCGGATGCTGGGGCTTCCTGCCGTGAATAGCGGTCTGACTCCTGTTGCCTTCATCACGGTTTTGTTGTTCACAGGACAGCATTGTCGGTCTCTGGCTCAGAGCTGTGGAAACCCGATGGGGAGAACAGGAGCCAGGAGATATGGCTGCTTTATTTTGGGTCCGTTCACTTTTCCCATAGCATGAAGAGCCCCAGTGGCATGCTATCTAGTGAACAGAGGCTTTGGGGGCCAGGGACTACAAAGGATCATCCAAGTAACCCATAATAAAATTCCACTTCAGATTGCAAACCACCAAAAGAGAAAGAAAAATATGTGAGGCTAGAGACACAAGGCCATGGACGATAGAGTTTTCAGCCTTTTTTAGAAGCAAACTGGATCTGCCTTTTTTCCTATCTTGTGCCGCCCCCCCCTTGTTTGTGGGTCTTTTTTTTTTTCCTTCTTCTTGTATTCTTCCAATCATGAACTTTAAATAGATAGACAGTTTTTAAATAGGATTTGGGCCGTGGGAATTTCTGGATTTTTAACAATGCCAAGCTCCCTTAGAACATTAAGCCAAATTGGGTGAAAAAAAGGCTGTTTCCAGGGTTTCCTAGAGCATTGTGAAGTGCTGGGGTCACAAGAAAGATCAGAGGACAGGAAAATGAACCCGACCTCCCTTGTCGAAGGGGATACATGTCTCTGACCCCAGAACTTACAGGGAGTTCAAAAGCAGTGCCAGGACAGGCCATACACATCACAAACACCTGGGCCAACACTCCTGAATCGAAGGTTCTTTACTCAAGCCAGTCACGAGATGGTGGAAACTATGTCTAATTGTTCCCGCACCCCACCTCACTCCCCCCACACACTGTGCTCTACCCTGCCCCAGCGAGACTCAGAGACCAAGCTTTGGAATGATGAAGACTTTGAGTGAAGCACTGTCAGGTAATCTAATGAGTCCAAGACATGGTAAAAGCCAATCAGAGTCCTCCCAGCACAGGCAGGACACTGGGCAGTTCCTGAGCTCCCCTCTAGGGCCAGCGGCTGGTTACACTGTTATCTTCTTTGGTCTTCAGGTTTCTTTGTAAATTCCAGACTTGAACTACCAGACCACATGCCCCCTCCACAGGCAAAGGTGAACAGGCAAATAAATGTTCTGATGATTATTCCATGACCTTAGATGAAGTTTCTTCCTCCCACTATCTGACTGGGAGTGTAGTAACGACATAGTAAGGAAGCAACCCAACAAAACACATGAAATAACATGTGTGTTACCACAGATCCCAAAACCAGGGGGAAGTTGGGAGCTAAGGAGACACTGAAAGGGAGAGGGAAGGGATAGAGAGAAGAGGAGGAGGAGGGAAGGAGGAGAGAGGGAGGGAGTGTCAAAGCCTTTAGAGGGGCTCAGGATGTTGTCGTGGCAGGTTTTTTTAGACAGTGCCATCTGGGGTTCAGAACAAATAGGCATCATTCCCAAAGATTCACTCACACCTTTTTTTTTCAGGTGTCCATAGAATTCCATCCACCATATCAATCTATTCACCTAATTCAAACAAATCCTCTACTTACCTACCACCAATCTATCCATCTATCTACTTATGCATCTATCAGTCTAACAACTTTTCGTATTGTATGCTAGGACAAACACTGAATTCCAAGAGGCATTCTTGCCTTCATGATTTCAAATATAGACCGATTTGAACAATTCAGAGTTAAGCCACTTCACTGAAGGCAACATAAGGCAAAGTCAGGGTGACAGAAATGACCATCATCAGGGTAATAACCTGGTAGTAGGAGGTAGGCATTATGGAAGGGGATACAATGTAGTTAGACTTAAGCAATGGTTTTCAATATTCCCAATGTGATGACCCCTTGGGGCAATGGATTTGAGAAATATTGAAAATACAAAGCCAGCTTTTGTTGGTGCTGTGGTGTGCAGGCTGCCTCTATGGTTCTTATTAACAGCTAGGGTCCTAGGAAGCTGAGTCCCTTGGAAATGAGGATATGAGGTCTGGGACAGAGAACAGTAGAGACATACTTCTTCATTGTCAGCCTCTCCCAGGTCCTCTTTCTTAATGAGGACCTACTTAGGACTCTTAAGCTACCCCCAGATTTGAGAGAAACTAGGAAGTCAGTGTCCTTGGCTCCAGGGCTATGGTTTTGGGTTTGATGGAGGTCAGTACTCACCTTCTACCTCCCAGAGAATCTAGGTTTCTAAAGCAGGTCACTTCTTAATATTTATAACCTTGATTCAGCATCTTTGGGTTTGGGTAGCAACATGGGCTAGCATTGATTCATAACCTTCTTCTGGTCTATATCTGTGACTGTTCAGTCCAAGACCAGTTCTTTCATTAACTTAGCACCCTACAGGAGTTTTCCAGCATGTCCTATTGTTGCTGCTTGAAGACACAGGCTGACTTATTACACAGGGAGGTGCTTAGTCTTACTGCAACTTATTATGCCATGTTTTATTGATACTCATAGGAAACCTGCTCTTTTCTTGATGGAGACAGAAGAGGAGGGGATTGAGGCTGGGAGGAGGAATGGGGAAGAGGGACTGGAAGGGGGAAGCTGTAAAATAAATAGATGAATAAAAAATAAAGAGACAGGCTGAATGAGTAGCTGACAGCTTGTTAACTATTCTGGCCCACAGATTTGTGCCTGTATTTCTTAGGTGACATTTTCTGGTTTCCACAAAGGAACTTCCAACTTTACTTTGCCATGTGCCAATATCATAAAGAGGGCATTCATCTAGGAGGAAGTATGATTTGCTTGTTTACCTGTTAGCATGGAAAGATATTTCTGTAACACGCGCTATGAAAAAGGCCAAGATACCACTTCCTGATTTCCCAGTTATCTGGCTGACTGGGCCTCAATTCTTACATCTCTCTTTTGTGACTAGAGATAGAAATAGGCCTTGTTCTCCCTTTTAAAATAAGGAAGAAAGCTAGGAAAGAATAGCATAGGCTAGTCCAGTGCTCACACAGTAGGTGTGACCACATACTTTACAAAGCTCCCCTCTCTGAAGTACACGTATGAATTTGTTCACACAAAGTAGAAAGGAATTCTCCTGATTATTCACATCTCAGTTTTACTAGCACCTCCCCCCCCATCCTTTTAAGACAGGGTCTACTGGAGCCCAGATTCCCTCTAAGTAGTCATGTAGCAGAGGGTGACCCTGCACTCCCAATCCTCTGCCTCCAAAGTGCTGGGATTATAGGTGTGCACTAGCACAGATGGCCAACCCCCTTGGTCAAGGAAACCTGCTTGGCTTCGTTAGGCTGATCTACTGCAGAGGTAGCAGAAGTCACAGAGATCCTGCTCAGGTTATGCCTGAGAGCTCAGGAGGATGTAGTAGCAGTTTGCAGTCTTTGGATGGGATCTCGCTGCCATTTCTCAAGTGCTTATAATAGATTGAACGAAAACCTTGAGGAACTGTGTGGTACCTCACATGCTAAATTCCCCCATGGATACTGACTGGCCACAATGCACATTTATCAAACTTCTCCAAGGCCTTATCCTTAAATGGCAGGAATCAACAGCTCAAAGTCCAAAAGAACTTTCTTTGCCAGATCCTTAGATAAAAATCATTTCCACTGTCCTAGAACTATCCCAAGTCTGGTGGGTGCTCAGAGCTTTGGTCTCAAGTTATCTGTTTCCACTCTGTAGTCATGCTGAGTGCTCTGAGCTTCCTTTCTGAATTGATTTTAAAAGGCTTTTTCACATCACGCTGGGAATGGAATGTTCTGGTCTCTAATCTGGGGATAGTTCAATCTCATTTGGTAGCAGATTAGTTGGTTGGTGGTCATTCAGGCACCTATCTGTCTTCTCTCTTTTTATGCAAGGTTTAGAAACAGCCTACATTCCTGTCAGCAGTTGTTCCCTCCAGTCCCCCATCGTGCCTCCCCATGCATGTCCACTCTCCTCAGCGTACTTGTTCGTACATGAATGCCCTTGGCAACATTATCTCCACATGGGGTGAGGTGCCCTCACCTTGTTCCTCTGAGAACTGGAACTTGCTGGATAAGCCAAGCTGGTTAACTAGAAGGTCCCAAGAATTCATCTCCCTCTGCCTTTAGAGCTAGGATTACAGATGCACATTGCCATGTCTATCTTTGTTTGTCTTCCAGGCATGTGACTCAGGTTCTTATGCTTGAATGGCAAGTACTTTCCAATTGATCTGTCTCCCAGATTTTCTTTGGTGTTTAGAGACAGGGTCTCATGCAGCAAGGTCAGGTCTTGAACTCACCTTATAGCCAAGGCTGGCCTTAAACTCCTATTCTTCCTGCCTCTACCTCCCAAGGACTAGGATTACAGGCATGTGCCAATATGCTCAGTAGTTTTTAAAAATTATCTTTTTATTTCTGTTGTATCTCAGCATTAAATCCAAGCAGGGTCTTTGATAAACCCCTTCCCCACACAGGAAAGCTTTGGCTGGCCTAATCTTTAACGCTGTGATCAACCATTGTGTTAACAATGCACATGTAAGCCACGTGTGAGTCCCTTTTCATTACTTATTCTTTAATAAGCAGAGATTAATTTAGAGAATACACAGTTACAGAGCAGGTGTCTGCCTGTGTGAACCACACTGTTAATGAGTGAGGGCTTAGCTCCCTAATCTACGCAGAAAAACCAGTACTACATAGAACCAGGATTTTGCAAAAATACAAAAACTTCATTGAGGGCTGTTGTGTGAGCTCAATCTGTTTAACCAATGACATTTGAGGTGACTAGCCCTATGAATTTGGTCTCTCTCTTTCTCTCTCTCTCTCTCTCTCTCTCTCTCTCTCTCTCTCTGTCTGAGCAGGAGCTTTCTGATAGATCCTCATCACCCTTGGGCAGGACAGTGGCAGCTGGATCAACAGTGGTGTCTTGTTCTGTATTCATGAGTCTGTTTTTTCATTGTATCCCTTAATAAAATTACAGAGCAGACTTAGTAGGTTATCACTTCACCTGGTGCCCCACATTGGTTACCAAATGAAGAAAGACAAAGGATTACTTTACCACTTATTATCAAGCAAAATCACAGTAATCACAAGGAAGAATGATGAATCTGAAACAGATCACCAGGTGTTCCACCACAGCCTCCACTTACCTTCCTTGTTCCAAAAGGGCCTGTGCATCCCTTGGCTCCACCTTATCTTTTGGGTCACATACCTCCCAATCAAAATTCCATCCTTTGGACCAAACTGCACTGGACCGGTGATAGAATTCCTGTAACGGAGGGCCAGCAATATAATTCAGTGGGCAAAGGCACTTTTTGACA